AATATTTCCCTCAACACATTTTACATTTGCGTTCTGCCGCATCTCATTTGTCCTTCACGCTTTCTACATAACATCTTACCCAGAGCACCATATGCAAATGTAGAATATCACGTGCCTTAACATATACGCAAACGAGGTCGAGATCAACATGGCACGCTATAAGCCAGCACACTATAAGATATTTACATTGTCTGCGATATCACCTCGTTGGAAGCGGACGTTAAATAAAGCTATTTCACATACACGAGATATTTATGCCCCACGATATTGAAGCCATCAACATGGCAAACTATAAGAAATTCACGGGACGATCGTGCCTACAATAAAATTATGTAATTGGTGGGCCCTGTGGTTAATCCGAGCCTTTGACAAATAACATAAATTGACAGTATAGTCTATATTTAGCAATTACTGTCGGGCAGCGACATTTCTTTCGACAAAACAAGGAAGACCTTTGTATCTCAAAAGTACGTAATTATGAATGTTCCAGGAAATATCAGAAAGATTCAAAGAGCCATAGGAAGATACTTTCCAGTGATGTATAACACGATAAATGGAATTTCGTATTAAGACCCGTATTAAGACCCGTATTTTTTGACATTTTAAACTCCCACCACCGTCCCCACACCCTTTCTCTAAATTTTAGTACAGGCTAATTAACTTTTAATCCATTTTTATTAAAAAAGTATAATCATTGTGCCCAACAAATAATGACTATACATGTAGGCTACTTAAAGAGAGATAAGAGTATACATAAACGTGTTTTTCACTAATATGTAACATATCGTGAATATCGTATTATGACCCGTATTTTGACATTGCATACCCTCCCTCAGTATTCATGGTAATATAGTATAGTACCATCCAAATTTGGTCGTTTTTTCAAAGTAAGTAAATTTCTTATAGTGTGCCAGGTTGATTTTCCCTTATCGTGTGCTGGCTTATAGTGTGCCCGGTTGATCTTGGCCTGGTGTCCGTATATGTTAATAGGTCACGTGATATCCTACATTTGCATATAAAGGTTAATGCATGCTATGTAGAAAGCGCGAAGATCAAATGAAATGCGGCAGAACGCAAATATAAAATATAATGAGGGAAATGTAAAATGTAGACACGCCAAAAAACAGCCTTTTCCAATCAAACATTTGTCATTTGACACATTACATTTGATGCTTTACATTTAACTTTGACTTTTTGACTTCATCATTACCGGTTTTAGGACATTGTACGTTGTACTTTTTACATATAATCAACGGAAAAGACATTTTAGCAGAGCATTTAATATTGGCAGCGATACCCTTACATATAGATGAAATGGTAAAACGTATCTGATAACTCTATAGATCTGATTCGTAACATGTATTGCCATGATGCAGGACGGAGGGCCTGACAAGGACAGCTGTCTAGTCATTCGGATGGAACGAAAAACCGAGGTCCTGTGTACACATTGGCGTGCACGTAAAAGATATCTTGACAGTTGGAATTCGATATAAGAGTAGGACGTAGTGCCGCTGTCCGGGCAAAATTTCCCTCATAGCACACTGTATGGCGTATGGCCGTCTTCATTAGCCCAGTTCAGAGCAAAACAGTAGGACGTTAAACCCCATTTCATTTCATTTCATAACAAACTCTCGTTAACTTATATATTATTGATTATACTTCATGTGTTATTTCAAGCAGGTTGACATATTGTTGAAAAGGGACCGAAAGGGAGCTTGATAATCATGTGTACATCTTTCACGTATAAGGTTGGGGGTGGTGGTGGGGCAACGCTGTCAATTTTGTATTTGTTCTTAGTGGCCAGTTATTTTGACAATACCAAGCAGAACAGTGGTGTTGATTAGCGACATCCCTTTAAGGTCTAATGATAAATATCACTCAAATATCACAAGAATGATGATTTACATACGTCACTGGGCCATTCCCTGGGGCATTTACCACAAAGCTAAATTGGTAACTTCCTCAATCTAAGGTTTACAATCTAAACGGTTCAAGGAGTTGTTTTTTTAATACTTATATCACAACAAATGAAGCTCACACTTGGTGGCGTTATAAATAATATGTCATTTTGATTGACTTGTGTCAAACGATCGAGACAAAGAAGTATACTTATTACATAAAAAAAACGCAATAAAGTATACCCTAATAAACATATCTCATGCACATTAGTGTAGTCTTTGAAAGGCAAGAACTATGGCCACATATAAGTACCCCAAAACGTTTGTCGCCGAATGGCAGAGATTTCCATTGCTAAGATCAATCATTCTTTTTCAAAAAGTATCTGGAGATTAAACAGGTAACACAATCTGGTACCTAAGCTTATATACATGTATTATAATATATACATATAATATTTATAAACCTACTTAAAAATGCAAAGAATTATATATATTAAAACATGAACAAGATTACAGCCCCATATATGAAGCACTGAGGTATTGTCGTTACCTGGGATCTGTGTAGATACATGGTACTGTTCTGACGTCAATAAGCTGACTTCCAATTTAGTGTCTCATTAAACGGGGAAGATTAAACGCACGCCAATAAATTATCTGGAATAATGCCCCTACAAATAAGACTACAAATAAGATTTATTCTTGTGACAAGAGGTGGGTTTACAATGATATTGCGTTCACTGCATATCTAATATAAAAATATCTCGTATTTCATCAGAAGATCATAAATTTGTGCATGTATTGTATTGCATCAAAACACGCTGTGGCCCAAATAAAACGTTACAGTGTTGTGTTTAATATATTGGGTCATTTCGTAAATAGACGACGTACACTATATTAAAAATAACCATGGACTCACCTTAGAACCGAAAGTCCAAGCTCAATCTACTGAATCTTTAAGCGTAAATGTTTCCGCAGTTAGTGGGAAATTCTTTCTAACACATATTGTGCAGAATGTATTCAAACAAAAGTAATTTGACGGTTTCTAAATTTCTGTTCTATTTATTTTAATTTAAATCATAAAAAAAAACATCCTGTAAATGCAATAATTAAATGTGGTAAAATGATACTAATGTTTAAAGGGGCACGCTAATGAAAGTTAGATATAAATACACTATTAAGTCACTAATATTCAGTCTGTCTTATCCACTCACAAGTGCTCGGGTATTTTGTCCAGACCCTTTTCTAGAGGGGTTGAGTGGCCGAATGGTCTAAGGCGTGTGCGTTAGATCATAAGGTCTGTCAATGAATTAAGAGGGGTGTCTCCGGTTTTCTCTAATAGCGAATTCTTGAAATAAAATTGAACCATGTGTCAGTCCCAAAATGACCCCCCCCCCTCTCTCTCTCTCCATTTTTGCTCTATCGGCGTACACCTTCTATAACACGTACCCAGCTTTTTTTTTTAAAAAAACAAAAACAAATAATTGTGCACCGTATTCTGTTGATAATTTCAAAAATTAAGGGGGTACCATGAGATTTGACGTTCTTTTATTCTACACCTACGGTTAAATAGCAGTGTCATTTATTTGGTTAGATTCCGTGTTGGCCGCGACCGTTCTTGCATTTCCAGCCGGTTCCCCTCAGTGATGCAGAACCGGGGGGCATGGGACATACATGTATTCTTCGTGGCTCGGATAGGACGATAAACGTGCACGTAAATAAACCCTTGTCAGTTTCAATTCGTCAAAGAGTAGGCTGATTTTACCCATTGGTGTATAAAAGTAGGATGTTTACCCAATTGTACCCATTTTGCTTAACGAAAGACTTATGAGATACTTCCTGTTTCGAATTTATAGGAGTTTTATTGTGTAATAAATAACCATATCCTGGGACAATAAGACGCCACACAGGCTATAATAAAATATCTCAGAATATGTCTATTGTACCACAACACCCTTCTGGCATTGTGTATAGCCGCGTTGTGTTCCAATTCTGGAGTTCCCATCCCCGGTGTGAATATCATTGTCTTATTATATTAATCAAAACCATTGTTCAGATAGGCTGCAGTAATCGCCATGCATTATGTGAGAAATGTGGTCAAATTCTTTCTTGTGTTGTCCTTCAAGTATTAATGTATTCTAACGGGCTGGAAAACACGAGATAGTTTGTCTGGTTAAAACTAGAAGCACGACTTATAAAATCTTACACCAGCCTACAAATGATCTATAAATTTTGTCTTTCATTTCAGTCGTGATGAAAACAAAATGTTCAAAGAAACGGCGTATTCCTACCCACTTCCGCTCCCTGAGAATCCGCGCCTACGTAGTAGATTAGTTTTCCCCTTTTGCCCATTGTACAATGAAGAAAGAATCAGTACGATCGATAATCTACCCTATCATTTCCACAATATTCTGTGAATGATGATAAGAACTAGGCCTTTTTTAAAAGTATTCATTCGAATATAAGTGCTACAAAACGATTTACATTTCCTAGTTAAGTTGATTAAACTTCCACCTAATAAATAAAATGAAATGAAATGGGGTTTAACGTCCTACTGTTCTGCTCCGAACTGGGCTAATGAAGACGGGCATACACCATACAGTATGCTATGAGAGAAATTTCGCCCGGACAGCGGCTTACTCTTATATCGAATTCCAACTGTCAAGGGATCTTTTACTTGCAAGTCTATGAGTACACGGGACCTTGGTTTTTCGTCCCATCCGAACCACTAAATAGCTACCCTTGTCAGGCCCTCCGTCCTGCAGCACGCCGGAAAATCTGGATGAACTTTCTCGGCCAACGGAGGGATCGAACACCAGACCTCCAGGCTAGCGAGCCAGCGTCTTACCCACCGTGAAGAAGCCCTTTATCTTTACTGCGACGTGTACAAAAAAACCCAATATATTTGTCTTCTCTTATCCTATGTTAAAGAAAAGTAAGACGTTAAGCCCTATTTCATTTTAATCTACAATATATTTCCCCATAATATTTTCTGTTACCAGATTTGAACAAATCGTGACACATTGTTGACGAATCTTTAACAGAAAGCAGACAAGCATAACACATTAGTAAACAGGGTTTAAGATTGACGGCGTTGTTTGCATAGCTATAAATACCCGTAATAAAGATATTATGTTACATATGTTAAAAATGGCGACTGCCGAATGGTTTATCCTTATGACGGTTACTGTAATAACCATATCGGGTAAGTTGAAATATGTTTAAATATGTTGTAAGAATTTTTTTTATCGAAATCGTTTTTCAAGATTGATAATTCTGTCTATAAACTGATATGTAATATGTGACTACTTACTGGACCGATTTTAGGTTATTCATAAGGAAACAAAGGGCTAATCTCAAAAGGTAAACCCGTTACGTAATAGACTCTCCTCTGGCTGATAATCGTTGCGACCAATATAGTAGACCGCCATATTTTTCAAATGATTGAAGTAGCATCATTATCGTGAAATTAACGTTTACTGGTTCGCATCCATTGCAATTATCTACAAAGCTGAAAAATGTGTATTAACAGGTGGATAAGCGTAGGGGGGGGGGGGGGGGTATTATTTTCCCTATTTAGTTTAGTTTTCATGGTCATGTGACCAATCATGTTATGATAACATGTCAGAAAACACTGACTACCATTGTTTCATATTGATTTTTAATTAATAATTCTCAGAAACTAATCCAGATGATTGATCATTTATATTTAAGAATGCGTTTGCGAGAGAACCGTGCAGGGACAGGCACATGGTGGGTGACCGATTTTGACCATTTTTTTTTATGTATGATGGGTAACCCCTCCAAACCCCACTGCCACAATTTTAGATCAATCGAGCCATTTTGAGAGCGTAGAAAAAAATTGAAATTTTAAGACAGAAAATAGCCAAAAAATCATCATTTTCAGTAGATTAATGAAACTTTATAGCGTAGCAGAAATGGTTAGTAAGTATACATTCTGAAAGTTTGATGGATTTTCATGGAGCGGTTTGTGGTATAGGGACTTATTGCTGCAAGGTACCAAAATAGCTCAATTTAGGTATGTCATTTTATTCTATCTATATCTCACCCACTGCGGGTTTAAGTATTTTTTTGGAAAGCTGACTGAAAAGACAATGATCTATAGTATTAAGATCAAGAAAGAAATTGGGTGGCAATCGACCCGTTTAGTAGTAAATAATTTCCATTTTTGTACAAAAATAACGATTTTTAACAAAAATGACGAAAAATAAACCGCTTTATTTACACACTCAAAAGTGTAACATGGCACTTGAAACCAAATTAACGTGGTTTCCAGTTCCGTTAAGAGCAAGCCATAATAAAAATAGAAATAAACAAATAAATATAAACGCAGATTATATACTTTCATCAAAAAATTCAAGTTTAAAAAATGTTCCATTATCAAAACTAAAAATGTTAATACTTATTACTATCTATATGTTGATACTTATTACTATCTATCTATCTAGCGCTATATATCTATTTACCTATCTATCCAATAAGTATCTGATCACGAAAACGGAGCCCACAATTACACCGTTAAAATTTTCAAACAATGAAGTTTGAAAAGCTTAATTTACTGTAAATGCCAAAAGAGCTGTTCTTGGTAAATACAATTAATCGGTGACATCTCACTGTGCCCCCTGCTATTGTTCTCATGGGGGGATTAATCAAGCAAGGGGATTATCGAATACAATGGTGTTAAAAGAATAGTCTGTTTTTTTCAACTACTAGGTTTAAACTAATTAACAACTTTATTCACAATAAATTTCATAAAAGTAACAACAAATACATGTATCAAACATAAATCATAACCCTCCAAAATAGATATGGCGTCAGTATATTCAATTGCACTTTTTTACTCCATATAACAGTTTGATTTTTAGATCATTAATAGATTCTTCTACTCTTTTATATTTTCGTCTTTTAGGGGGCAATCGTCCCCCGTTATCCAATTGAACTATTGTATTTTCAGTAAAAGTCTGCTGGTGCTATTGGGTTTCGTATTTTTTACTCTGTACTTATACCCCAAATTAACTAAATTTTGACCTCCTTGAGAATTAGGAATAAACCCTATGCGAACTTGAGCCATTTTAAAAGATATAATGTAATTGGGGGTGACAACTATCCTTATATAATGATAGTGAGTTTCTAATCATATATTTGATTGATTTATGAGTACTGTCTGAATGAAAGGTAGGTGAATAATATTTAAGATACTCGTTAACCGATGACACGTGAACTTAACTTATATATTTTAATCATTAAAATAATTAAATTTTAACTAGGTGAACAGTACTAATAAGGATACAGTCTATAATCCTTTGTTTACTTAATTTTCACACCACTACCCTATAACACCAGTTGATTGGGGGGCACAGTGAGATTAAACCAATTAATCTCTCTAGACTATGTGTCAACATTTTATTAATTCGGCAATATAACCTCATGATCTAGTAGAAGGATGACGAATTTTTGAACAGCAAATCGTAAAAACTAAATAGTGTAGTAGTCATATATATATATCTGTCTATACTTGACAAACGAATCAAGCGATATTTGAAAAAGACAAAAAACAAATTGTATATGACCGTAAGGTCACTATTTTAGCACACTCCCCGCAGTGTTTCGTTTGATTAAACCTAATCCCACTCAACACTGCCGTAATGAAAGCAAATTTCTGTTCCAAATTATGATTGGTCAATAGTCCGATTAACAACCAATACCTAAATGTGTAACAATAATATTCTGGTTTAAACAGAGTTTCAAATATGTTATTAGTTAACATAACGTTACGTCATGATTCACCCAATTAACCAGTGCATAGCAGAATATTGCAGAAAAACTAATTGCGTGACAAACGAGGCTATCAGCATGGCTACAATGTAAACAATACTGTTTGGAGACGAACAATACTTTCACCGTTTTTAATACCTTAAATCACTGTCCAAAGTTTTAGGGAAGACGCCAGTTTAAACGAAAGTGCAAATCTAACTTTGGCCTGACGAATAATAATAATATTATTAATATGTATATTTATATAGCGCACGTACTCCATGTACAGAAGAATGTCCACTGCGCAAACAATTAAATTAATTTAATTAATCTTGATAAGTCTTGATGTAAAACAAGAAAGGGTTTGAGATGATTTTTTGAAATCTGGAAGATTATTACGCAGTTTAGGCGCATTCACTGAGCACGACCCGTATCCAAATGATATTAATTTCCACCTGATGAATGTGTGTTCGGCCGGAGGTTACTCGAGGGAATTTGTATGTGCATAAAGTTAGATAAGTATATTTGAGCTAAGCCATTAACACACTGATACGTCAAAGACAGACTTTTGAAGATGATTGGCAGCCAATAGATTGATTTCAGAACAGGAGTAATATGAGAGTGGTTTGGTGATCTGGTAAAAATTCGAGCTGCAGTTTATTCTACAAGTTGATGTTTTTTTTAATATTGGCACTAGATGTTCCTACTAACAAGCTGTTACAGTAGTCAATCCTTGAGAATACCAAAGAACATATAAGTGTAGCCGCTGCTTCCTGGCTAATAAAGTGTTTATATGGCCAATTTTCACTAATGTAACTGTCCATGCTCAAATTGGACCCCAAGATGACACCTAACCTCTTCACAGTGTCTCATGGTACAAATATTACATCTCGTACAACCACGTCATTTGAACTTGTATTTTTCAGATGTGTATTTTGACCACATAAAATACATTCTTATTTACTTAATTCAATTAAATTTAATTTCAACATATTTCTTGTCATTCTATCTTTAATGTCATGTGTACACAATTTGATGTCAGAATAATTAGGGAATGAAACAGTTTTTGAAAGGGAATAACTTGCGATCAGCTGTGTATCATCTGCATAAGAATGTCGTCCTAGAAACCACGCTTATCGATTAGTTGTCCCAATTTCTTAGTATACATAACATAAAGGACAGGTCCAAGGATTGATCCTTGTCGAACTCCCGAATCATCTGTACCAGCCCTACACAGGGTTGCTGGTAGGCGGTTGCATGGGGCATTATCAGGCCTAATAATCCAGGCAATGGATGATTTTATTGGAAAAATGATGTCAAAAATGAAGTCATTTTCTTCAAGTTCGACCATCAAATTTAATATGAAAGAAATCCGTGCCAGTCATTTTGTCAAAACCAAATATTAGTATTAGTAGTCATCAACTTCCATTATAAATATAATTGTCCTCAGCCCCGCAGTGGGTGAGATATAGCATCATGAAATTTATATGTTTTAGCATATAGCAAAAACTACGTCTCAAAATAAATTCCTCATAGCCTGAAATGGATGTCGGAAAAATTTAATAGTCATATATATTTAAAGTAGTAGACATGATCATTCATAAAAAAATAATTTAAAAAAATAAAAAATCAATAGACAATTTATGGGAAATATTTGAATTTAAGGAATTTTTTCATAAAAAATGACCGGTTTTTTAACACTAAAATGGCCATAGCTGGTTCTCCGTAACTACAAGGTTGGCGACCCTCATATTTCATGTGGGGTATACGAGGTACCCAATGACAAAATCTGCAAAGTTTGGTCAAAATCGCCCGACACCGCTTGTGCCGTTTTTTTTTAAATTTTGCATGATTCTCTCGCGAACTCATTCTTAAATATATAGGTCAACTTGTGCTCATATGAACTGTGCATGAGCTCATATGAACTGTGCATGATCTATTTTTCAATGCACTTGTTCCACTGTTTCTTCAGCCTTTTTGACCGGCCATACCCTGTGTGTGCTAAGAAAATAAACCTGAAAATAAGACAACTTGTCTGCGATATCACCTTCGCCGGAAGCAGACATTGAGCACCCATCATCACGGATGTTTGGAATTGTAACTGGAAGACGCCCTTTGGGCTTTGGCGACGTCAGGTGGTCGCACTCAGGGTGATTCGTTCCACTGATGTGGTGTTAATGATATGTGCAGTGACTAACCAATTACTCGCCTGCCCTGTATTATTAAGTCGAGAAAAGCATCATCTGTATATTTGATGGTCACTTCACAAGGGTGGTCATCTCATGGTTGGTAGTGTTGTAAATTCAACACAACACTTTTTGACTGGAATTACTATACGAAGGAGCATTGTCACCTCATATGTGCGTCATGTCATTTTGAATTTGTTTTGGCGTCAAAAATTTCAAATGCGGGTACTTTGTCACAACCCTA